CGATTTTGACAATTTTCCACCATAACACGATTTTCTGAGTAGTTATCAATTCAATCAAAAGCTGAATTATCACAGAGCATAAACTACACATTCTCCCCTAAGGAATAGTGAAAGTTTCATGACAATATATCGATTAATTACAGAGTTATAGCCATTTAATGTTGACCTTGTGTCAAAATATAGCTGCTACACGATTCTGTTTGCCTATTACCGCAAATGGGAAAATTGAAGAATTTGCATATTGCTAAAAACGAAATACGCAGCTGCGTTACCAGATTGCTGCTGGGCAATGTAGTTTGTTGTTGGCAGTTTGAAAAAAAGAGCATACTTTTAGGCGGATCATTCAAATGGATATTTGTATGAAATTCAAATGTCGCGGGGGTTTTAATGTAACGCCTCAAAGTATGCTCATAATTTGTAAATTATTAATCAAATCCATGGAAACGATCTGGTAACATAGTTGCGTATTTCTATTTTTGCGAAAATGCAGTTTCTTTAGTTTTTCAGTTTTAGGTAATAGGCAAACAGAATCGTGTAGCAGCTATATTTTTGATACAAGGTCAACTTGAAATGGCTATAACTTTATAATGAATGGACCTATTGACATGAAACTTTCACTATTCGTAAGGGGAGAATTTGTAGTTTCTGTACATCGATAATCAAGTATTCCTACTACTAAGAAAATCGTGCTATTTCGGAAAATTATCAAAATCGCTTTGAATAAACTAGATATCGATGTGTTTAAGAAAACAATGATATTGGATTGTTGTTGAGGGATCGTGGGGGCTATACCACGTTTTGGTATAACAAATCTACTAACCAATAATGACCAATATTGGTCCACTTTTTATCGTAGGTCCCATATGACGGCCCCGTCGAAATTTCGGTATTTTGGGCGGTTTGGTAAATTTTTTCAACCAAATTGGCTGCAATTTAGTATTTTAGGTTCTCACAGGAAATTTTCAATATTTATCAACTTTATAGGGTAGCTCCCTGTAAAGGGAAATTTTTTGATTTCAAAGAAATAAAATAATAACACAATGTATCCACGTCGAGATATTGTGCATGCTGCTTTCAAAGCTGTTGTTATGGTGGGATTAATTTTTATTTTATGTTTATCAAATTATTTGAGATGAATGAGGAGGAATATCTTTGTAAAACAGATCTTCCCACTATTTCCAGTACTTGTGCGCCTAAATTCCACAGGACATGATATTCAAATATTATACATAAATGTCGCTTATATGATTTATTTAGATATGCTTTTAGATAGAGTCATCATTATTGCTAACGTGGTTATATACAGTTTGCGACGATAAAAATGAACCGCATAGAAATATCGTTTTTTTGACCCATCGTTTCTTTGGACCCAATCTGTTTCTGATTATTTGAAGTCGATTTACAAAAGTTCTTTCCTCTGGTGCTCAAGATAACTTTCGTAGGAAATAATCGATTTCATCCAAACTTTGTACATTGTGATATTTCTTCATAACTTACATTAAGTTCGAAGACGGAGCATATCGGTCCTCCTCCTCTGTATCTCCATAATTAATTTTATAATATCATCCGAACAGAGGATCCGATTTAAACCAAACTTTGAATAACCTAATATTTTCACTAAACCTGTATAATGTTTGAAGATTAGGCTTATCGGTTCACTCCCGATTATATCTCCCTCACATATGGTAATTTTTTTTGAAAACGTGTAAACCTCAAATTTGGATGTCACTGTGGGGGTGTAGGATTGGTGTATGTGGATATTTTTGGAAATTGGTTCTACCGTGTACTAAATTTGGAACAATTTGAATTGTGGGTGGAAATATAGAATTGGAATAGCGAAACTTGGATTTAGGATCACTGTCCTTGTGGTGTGTAGATTTTTGATAGTTCCACCATAGTTTGGTACAATTTGAATTGTAAGGTTGCATTTATGATCCGATTTGCATGAAATTTGGATTTAGCTCATTTATTTGGCCTATGTAGGACGTTTTGGACATTCGTACTATTGAAATTTGGAAAATCGGTTCAATTTTTCCTCCTCTGTATCTCCGATTTAGATATAGCTCCTCATATATAGATTTAAACCAAAATTTGCACAACCTAACATTTTTACCAAACCTGTATAATGTTTGAAGATTAAACTTATCAGTACACTACTTATAGCACCTCCCTCACATAGGGTCAAGTTTTTTTGAAAGTTTGTAAATCTCATATGTCACGAACGGAATATTAAATTTCATCTTACATAGATGAAGTTCAAATGTGATATTCCGGGATAACAAAATTCGGAAAATGTGCCAGGAGCTGTTGCTCGCTCACTGCAAATATCCTATTATCATGACTCCAATTTCCGCAAAAAGGCCGTGGTAGTTGACGCTTTCGAAGGCCTACTGGTAAAAATGTGTGTGTAGGTCTTTGAATAATTTTCGAATTTTAAATTTATAGCCTTTTTGAATGCTTATAAAAAGTAGATTTTTTAAATACTTGTTTCAAGGGCTTACAAACACATACATTTTTTTTAATATCCCTAGTAGGGCGTGTATTTTTTATAATATTTTTTCGAATATCTGTACAATTTCCATTTTTTTTAAATTCTGTAGACGGTCTTTCACGTAGCCCCATACATAAGTCTAATGGCTTGGTGCAGGTGCATCCTCCTGTAGAGATAAAACCTGATGACAGATACAGATAGTGTGTTTAGTATCTGGAAGGAGCATTTTGCAAAGCTTCTGGTATCAAAAAATGGCGGTGAAGAAAATACCTCAAAATCAATAAGATATTATGGTATAGAGTGTATACCACCTAGCCAAGATGAGGTTAGAGTAGAAATTAATCGGCTGAATAGCAATAAAGTAGCAGATGCCGATGTATTAGCAGCCGAACTATTCAAGACCGATGGTCAGATGCTTGTCTGGATCATGCACCAGCTGATTAGTACAATTTGGCTAGATGAATGCATGCCCAATGATTGGATCCTCAGCATCCACAAAAAGGAGACAAGACGATATGTGCCAACTATGGAGAAATAAGTCTCCCTCCCATCGCATATATAGTGCTATCCAGCGTACTATGTAAGCGACTGAAGCCAATGGTCAATGACATTATTGGACCATATTAATGCGGCTTCAGGCATAGCAAATTCACCATTGCGTCAAATCCAGTAAAAGACCCACGAACAACACATCGACACATTTCACCTATTTGTTGATTATAAAGCCGCAATTGACACCCCTATCCATTCAGAGATGTTTAAAGCCATTTCTGCGTTTGGCTCTTACTGCAAAATTAATACGGATATGCAGGATAACATAATCTGGCACAAGGTCAGTAGTTAAAGTCGGAAATGACCTCTCGGAGCTGTTTAATACCGAATGAGGATTCAGACAAGGCGACTGTTTGTCGTGTGATCTTTTTAACATCCAGCTGGAAAAGGTCACACGAGAGGCATTGGCGAACAGAATGACGTCGATATAATGAGTCGAACATTGCGAGCGGTAGCAGCTACCTTTGAACAAATTGAGAAGGAGTCTGCCAAAGTGGGTTTGACAATAAATGGCGAGAAGAACAATCTGATGGTATCAACGCGCAAGACGTCCAGTAGACTCGGACCAATTGTGAAACTTGAGAACTACAGCTTCGAGGTAGTCAAATTATTTCTATAACTTGGTACCGCCATAAATAAAACTAATGACATCAGTTTAGAAATTCGGAGGAGAATAGTGTTGGCCTACAGATGCTACTATGGTCTAAGTAAACAGTTTAGAAACAAGGCCACGTTTGGAGTGTTTGAGAGAAAAATTCTCCGAAAGATGTATAGGCGTCGAGGTTGTATATCGCCGTCGAATGAACCATGAGCTGCACCAGCTATTCTCGAACATCGACATAGTCAGACGAATCGACTACGTTGGCTAGGCCATGTTGTGGGAATGGATGAAGATGTCCCAGCTCAAGGTCTTTCAAACTGGAAGAAATGCGCAAGTGACCAAAGTGCCGGTTAATATTTTTTTTTGCTCGGCTTATGAAACAAATATTCTGTCACAAGCCAGCTACGTTAGTAACTTATCACACCTTCGGATTAAAGAGCGCACCAAACAGTGATTTTTAAAGCATGTAATGACATCTCTTCATTCTCAGAACCCCAAATACGGCATTTTTTTCATGGGGGATATGTAAACCACAATCTCCTCAAAAAGCGTGATATATGACTGTGGCAGAACCATCATTATTTGTAGTAGGTTTTGATAATTTTTATGCGTTGTGAAATTGTTACGCGATTCATTTTCGTCAATGTCAGACTTTCAACTGAAAAGAATAAAAAAATAGTTTAACAATGTAGTTTGATAGATTGCATATATTCGAAACCACGAACACTTTACATAGTGTTTTTTTTATTTCCGTAGTAAGGCCTAAAACTTTACTCATCTATAGGCCTTAATACGGAATCGTTAATTCCGAATACCGAGATTTTTTTTCAGATTACCTTTTCCATTTAAAAATGTATTCATTGAAATTGTTATATGTAAAAGGTTTGAGGAAAACCCTCCATTCAGGAAATTCTTAAAACTTAATCTTTAAAATTTGAAAAATTGCATCGAAAGTGAATTTTCTTGTTAACGAATGGGGATTTTCATATCTCACACAAAATGGAAAATTTTCAATTTTTCCCTTTCGCATGAACTTCGTTAACGAACAAAATGATAAATGTTGGGGGCCAATGAAACAACTACAAACCCACAGACGTGCATATATGAATCTCGCCTAAGTGTGTTAGTTGTCCACATTTAACCCTGCATCTTTTACGAAATGAACTTAGTTGTTGTTGTCGTTGTTTCTGTAGAACACAGTAAAACCACAATGAGAATCCAGTTAGCAAAGCTTACCGACTCTAATTTTCTCATAGACATGCCAGCCATACGGCATGGATACGGAGGAAGGATAGCCTGACATACTTCCTATTTTTCTATTACAACAGCTACTACAACTACCACACCAATACTCACTTGTTGTCATCCAATACGGAATTGAGTGCCTCAATCCATTCCGGATCAATGCTGCCATCGCAAACAATCCACGAGCGTATGTGTGACGGTTCGGCGTTTACAACAACGGCTGTGTGTGTCAAAACACCATCGAGCCATTGACGGGTGTCAGGATCAAGACGACCCAGCAACTGTATGCGACTCATCGATTTGGGGCTAATGGTATGTATGCGTATTTGTTGTTGTTGTTGCGATTGTTGTTGTTCCTGCTGCTGGTATGCTGGCGATGACTTTGATGTTTGTGTAATTAAAGCCTGGCGTAATACACTTATAATGGTGGATTTGCCACAACCGGGTGGTCCCATCACCACAACACCCATACGCTTCTGTAGCTGTTCATAAAGTTGCAGACATTTAATCATTTGCATTTCATTAAAGCACAAACCCAATGCCGCGAAAGCCTCCCTAATCGAATGCTGAAGGGTCGCCGCCGTGGCTGCCGATGACTCATATGCTGCCAGGTCATTGCTGGTAATCTCCGGGAATACATTGTGCAGTAACATCTCGAAACGTGAAACATCGTGCAAGGCCAATTTCGACATAGTTGCAGTGCGTAAACATTGGACCACCACCAACATTTCCATGTCGGGACCGCCATCGCTGTTATTGCCATCGGAGTTCATTGTTATGCTCCTTAAACCCTCACCACAGGCTAATAAAATTGTTTTCAATTCTCTTAAGCCCCAATCATAGTGACGCTGTTGCGTCAATATCTTGGCACACATATCGAACAGTTCGACGACACGTTGGGCGATTTCGGTTGGCTGTTTAAATCCTTCGACAAATAGCATTACACGTGCGATTTCTCCCGGTTCCGGCTGTTGCATGACAATTGGACGAAACAATGCCTGTATATTACCGGGTAATTTCTGGCGACCACCATAGTCAGCGCCAGCCGGATTAAGTGTTACAAATATACCGCAATGTTGATTGAGTTTTATCTGTGACGGTCGGATAAATGTGGGTAGTGGGAGATGGGGGGAAGGGGAGAGAGAGAAGATAAAACAAATAAGTAAGTAACACAATCATTGCACAAAATAGCATTAACGTATAAAAACCCGAACAATGATCATACACAATGCAAATGGACAGGCCATTTTATTATGTGAGACATTTTTTAGGGTTTTAACTTAAAATTCCGTATAAGACATATCGATTTTTTAAATAATACTTTATATAGATGCCTATGGAGCAGAAGATTTTTTAAATAATATTTTTTGAAGGTCAATAGAGGCATGGTTTTATTAAATAATATTTTTTTAAGGACTATAGAGGCGTAGATTTTTTAAATAATATTTTTTGTATCTTTAGATTTGCACGAAATTTGGCATAACGTAGTGAATTAAGTCTAAAATGATGTGTGCTAAGTTTCGTGAAAATCGGTTCAGATTAGAGATAGCTCCCATATATATTTTCGTTCGATTTTATGTAAATGATGCACCAAAGTCCCTATATATCTTTCGAATGCACGAAATTTGGCACAGCTCACTTAATTGAGTCTAGGATTATGTGTGCCAAGTTTCGAGAAAATCGTTTCAGATTTAGATATAGTTCTCATATACAGTTTTGTCCGATTTAATGTAAATAGTGTTTTAAACTCCCTGTATATCTTCGATTTGCACGAAATTTGGCATATCACACTTAATTGAGTCTAAATGGATGCGTGTTAAATTTCGTGAAAATCGGTTTAGATATCTGTCTGATTTTACGTGCAGCGTGCAGGCGCTTTGTGCTGCAGCATACCAAATATGGCACCGTTGCTCAATTAGGTCCCAATTTACATACATACATAATTTTGCTCGGTTTTATAGAAATGGTACACCAAAGAATCCAATATGGGGTTTTGTAATAGATTCAAATATCTATGTAGATCACACATTTACTTTCGCCCGATTCCATTTCCAAGGACCTCTAAAGATGATATTTCTTTTCCATCTACAGGATATTGTATATATTGTACCCATAGTGGTGATGGGTATCATATAGTCGGCTCCGTCCGACTTTTGAACATTCCTTACTGGTTTAGATAATATCTGCCTATATAGGCGTAGATTTTAAAATAATATGAAGCCGTAGATTTTTTTTAATAATATTTATTGAAGGCCTATAGGGGCATAGATTTGAGAGTATACTACCGCCGGTACTGTCGAATTCAAAAATTACCCACCGATAAAATATAAACGAAACAGCCCATATGAAAAGTCAATTTGTATGGCAATCAGAATATAAACACAAAAACACACTCTCAGTCAAAAGGATAACAACATTGTAGTTGCTGCTTTTGTAGTTTTGTTATTGTTGTCAGGTCAGAAATTAAAAACATTTATCCTTTTTATCAGATAAACAATCACTCTTTTGTCCATCAATAATTCCATCAATGGATGAATGAATGAATCAATGAATGAACGAGCAAATGGATGAATGAGCGGATTTACGAAATACAATTTGCCAATAATATTTGTAAATGTTGTTTTGACTTTTATGACCATTTGGGTATTAAACATACACGTATACATATGTGTGTATTCTTGTATATGCATTTATACACATTCACTTGATTTAAAGATTTATATGTTGGAGATTTGAACACGCTATTGTGAAACCATAAAATTGATAATCATGTTTGGGTGTTTTTAAGTATTTAATCAATTTAATGTGCGAAAATTAGTATTTACTAATATTATGAGATCGATGAAGAACTATAGTCGCATTTTAAACAGACAAGGACGAATGTGATGGTCATTGAAAAAATATTCTTTAATAAATCCACGCCTGTGATGGTCATTGAAAAAATATTCTTTAATAAATCCACGCCTGTGATGGTCATTGAAAAAATATTCTTTAATAAATCCACGCCTGTGATGGTCATTGAAAAAATATTCTTTAATAAATCCACGCCTGTGATGGTCATTGAAAAAATATTCTTTAATAAATCCACGCCTGTGATGGTCATTGAAAAAATATTCTTTAATAAAAAATATTCTTTAATAAATCCACGCCTGTGATGGTCATTGAAAAAATATTCTTTAATAAATCCACGCCTGTGATGGTCATTGAAAAAATATTCTTTAATAAATCCACGCCTGTGATGGTCATTGAAAAAATATTCTTTAATAAATCCACGCCTGTGATGGTCATTGAAAAAATATTCTTTAATAAATCCACGCCTGTGATGGTCATTGAAAAAATATTATTTAAAAATCCACGCCTGTGATGGTCATTGAAAAAATATTCTTTAATAAATCCACGCCTGTGATGGTCATTGAAAAAATATTCTTTAATAAATCCACGCCTGTGATGGTCATTGAAAAAATATTCTTTAATAAATCCACGCCTGTGATGGTCATTGAAAAAATATTATTTAATAAATCCACGCCTGTGATGGTCATTGAAAAAATATTCTTTAATAAATCCACGCCTGTGATGGTCATTGAAAAAATATTCTTTAATAAATCCACGCCTGTGATGGTCATTGAAAAAATATTCTTTAATAAATCCACGCCTGTGATGGTCATTGAAAATATATTCTTTAATAAATCCACGCCTGTGATGGTCATTGAAAAAATATTCTTTAATAAATCCACGCCTGTGATGGTCATTGAAAAAATATTCTTTAATAAATCCACGCCTGTGATGGTCATTGAAAAAATATTCTTTAATAAATCCACGCCTTTTATAGTCGTTGAAAAATCTTCTTTAATAAATCCATTCTTTAATAATTCTCAAATATTTCTTTCTTCGCTACTTCACATTTCGCAAATGAGAACGATATAGATAGACGAAAAAATTGAACCAAAAAACTGGATTATGATGATTTACGTAAATATTTACCTTACCAAGACCATACATGCACCCACACACACACATACACACATAATCTACAGCATAGCAATTCATACTTACATTCTTTCCGGCTATCTGAACAACATCCAGTTTATCCTTTAATGAACATTGTATCGGCTGTATTAGCATCGAAATGGCCGAAAGTGTTGCCTCCTGCAAACGATTGAATTCATCAAAACAGCCCCAGGCACCGCATCGAGCTAAACCGGTTAAAATCAAAGCCATTGATTCCGTGTCGACGTTCTGTTTTCAGGATTTTTTGTTTTGTCAGTCGAAGAAAGTCGAAATGGTAGAGATAGAGAGAGAGAGGGAAGAAAAAAGGAAACAAGATAAATTAACAATAGTCAACATAGCATCAGGCAATGGCTAAATGAAAGCAATTTCAAATTTTGTGAAATGTTACTCGATGCAAATTGTTGCAATGTCAACATTTTCGTTTTTTTGGAAGGAGGGAAGAAAGTAGGACAATAACACAGCAGCAACAAGGAAAAAATGAACATGACTAAAAGGAGATGAGTAGAATGTGGAGGAATGTGTACAGTACGGGAAAGTTTGGATTGTGATATTGTTGACATGAGGAAGGTAAAGATATGGCTTAAGACATGAGTAAGGTATTTGAGGTTTTATATTGACATTTTCATATGCAATACACTAATGTGTCTAGAAGAGATTTTAGATTTGTTGTGGAATGAAAGTGGCATGGTCATATGGGATCTAGGCATGTATTAGGAGGGCTTACATTCATTAGCGCCCACTTGTTAATTGTATATATATATACAAGTCGGACTGAAGTCGGACTGGTCCGACTATATGATACCCTTCACCACTTTGGTGATACGTTGTTCAAAACTTCGTGTCAATCGAACAAACATTAGAAGTTTGGTGTACCATTTACATAAAATCGGACGAAAAAATATATGGAAGCTATGGAAACTTAACACACATCATTCTAGACCTAATTCAGTGTGCTATGCGAAATTTCTTGCAAATCGAAAGATATATAGAGGCTGTGTTGCAGCACTATCTTAAAATCGGACGAAACTATGTATGGGAGCTATATCTAAATCTGAACCGATTTTCACGAAACTTAGCACACATAATTCCAGACTTAATTCAATATGCTATGCCAAAATTCGTGTAAATCGAAAGGTATATAGGGGCTTTGGTGCACCATTTACATAAAATCGGAAGAAAATATATATGGGAGCTATATCTAAATCTGAACCGATTTCACTGAAACTTAACACACATAATTCTGGACTTAATTCAGTACGCTATGCCAAATTTCGTCCAAATCGAAAGATATACAGGGACTTTAGTACACCATTTACATTAAATCGGACGAAAATATATATGGGAGTTATATCTAAATCGGAACCGATTTTCCCGAAATTCACCACTTATCATTCTAGACTCAATTCAGTACGCTATGCCAAATTCCGTGCAAATCGAAAGATATATAGGAAGTTTGGTGCACAATTACCTAAAATTGGACGAAAATATATATGAGAGCTATATCTAAATCTGAACCGATTTTAATGAAACTTAGGGCACATCTCTCTAGACATAATTCAATACGCATTGCCAAATTTCGTGCAAATCGAAGGATATAAAGGGACTTTGGTGCACCATTTACATAAAATCGGACTAAAATATATATGGGAGCTATATCTAAATATGAACCGATTTTCACGAATCTTAACAATCATCGTTCTAGACTTAATTCAGTACGCTATACCGAATTTCGTTCAAATCGAAGGATATATAGGGACTTTAGTGCACTATTTTCCAAAAATCGGACGAAAATAATATATAGGAGCTATATCTAAATTTGAACCCATTCTCACGGAACTTAACACACATCATTCTAGACTTAATTCAGTACGCTATGCCAAATTTCGTGCAAATCGAAGGATATGCAGGGACTTTGGTGCACCATTTACATTACATCGGACGAAAATATATATGGGAAGCATTTAAATCTGAACCGATTTTCCCGAAACTTACCACTCATCATTCAAATCGAAGGATATAAAGGGACTTAGGTGCACTAAATCTGAACCGATTTCAACAAAAATTTGCATACATCAACCTGGATCTATGTAAGTCAGTGCTCTGAGCAAAATTTTCTCTCATTATGACCAATATTGGGAGTTTGGTGCACCATTAACCTGAAATCGGACGAAACTATATATGGAAGCTATATCTAAATCTGAACCAATATTCTTGTCCTTGGGCCATATAAATGAACTGTGCCAAATTTCATCCAAATCTGATTATAAATGCGACCTGTACTTTATTTACAATTTGACATCCACATGTTTAAATCGACTCAGAAAATGATTCTATGCTTATTCTCAAAAAGAACCATGGATCTATCTCCATTCCTTTTGCCTATTACAAACATATGCACAAAGCCATAATACCCTGTACCAGAGTGTGTTGAAGGGTACACCTTTTAGGTGTAGTCCCCACCTAAAAGGGGGTGAATATTATTAATTTTTGGTAGGGAAATTTGTTACCATATACGACTACAAAAATCCCAATTACATTGAATTCGGTTGAAAAACGTGCTCAAGAATCTCAAAATACCAAAAATTGGGGGGTACCCCTATGTGGGGGGCTACCAGAAAAAAGTTGACCTATATTTATAATTTCAAGTGGAGATATTTGCCTACCCAATAAGAACGGAAAGTACTAAATTACAGCCAATTCGGTCGAAAAATACGATCAGAACCCCCAAAATACCGAAAATTTGGGGGTAACGTTATATGGGGACTACCAGAAAAAGTGGACCTATATTTATAATTTTTAGTGCAATAATTTGGTACCCAATAAGAATCCAATGTACCAAATTTCAGCGAATTCAGTTATAAAACGCGCCCAAGAACCCCAAAAATACAGAATATTGGGGCTATCCGAAAATAATGGACCTATATTTATAATTTTTAGTGGGAGATTTGCTATCTAATAAAAACTCAAAGTTCCAAATGTCAGCGAATTTTGTTGAAAACGCGCTCAAGATCCTCAAAATAGCCAAAATTGGGGGTACCCTTATATGGAAGCTATGCTCAAACGTGGGCCGATATAGCCCATCTTCGAACTTGACCAGCCTGCATACAAAAGACGACTCTATAAAAAATTTTGGCGATCTATCTCAATTTGTTTTGCCACTAGAGTGATTACAACAGACAGACGGACATGCTTAACATGCTTGTCATAGAATTTTCCGCTGATCAGGAATATATATATACTTTATAGGGTCGGAAATGATTATTAAATGATTACAAACGGAAAAACAAAATTAATATATCCTCCATACTATGGTGGATGGTATACAAAGGTATTTATGACATGAATTCGATATCCAAAATATCTGAAAATCTAACGGGACTTCTATGTGGAGCTATAATGTGGTAGTAAATTTCTGCCTCAAAACCAATACCAAACTACAGACACTCAGGTCGGTAATTGACCTCTGTCCTTGATGAAAACCGGTGCAGACACTCAGGTCGGTAATGAAAACCGGCACCATTAATTTGGAGCTATACTAAAACGTGAACCGTTTAATATTTTCTAAAAATAAAATAAAAATCGTAAGTTTCGAAAATCAAAATTTTCAACATTTCCAATCCATCCTAATTAATAACTCTCTCATCTAATGCCTTTCAACTGCTAATAACTTTATTCTGTTTGTCTTCTATGTACACTCACGTATGTACTTTTGTATATATATGCAAATGTACTTACCTCATCACAGTTAAATACTAGCACCAATCTACCCAACATAGCACCCAATGCTTTGACACACTCCGTTTTGCCGGTACCAGCTGGACCAAAGGGATTACCACCCAGGCCCATATGCATGGCTTGTGTTAGGATGAGATAACATTTGTGTGTTAAACGTGTACTGACCAACTTATTGGGATTACCCAAAAATTCATATGAATACTCGAATTCTGCATAGACCATACGGACAATAACCGTGGCATTACCGCCGCTGCTGTGGTTGTTGCTGTTACTGTTTTGGGATGCAATCAAATCAGGTGCTGATTTACCACCACGACCACTACCACTGCCTAACTGCTGTTGCATCTGTCCACTGCCGCTGTCACTTAAATAAAATTTAAGCTGTGCCAACCAATGCCAATCGTTCAGATGCATTGTGTTGTTGTCGATCAGCTCCTCGACAATTGTCACATAATGGACCAAATCGAAGAGCAGCGAACGTAATTTTATTTGCAACAGCGTGTCAGACGTCTGATGTTTCCACAGCGAATATTTGCCAATTTCCGCATTCAGCGATTGTCGAAGTTTTTGCAGTGCCATTGTTTGGATAGCCTTTTCACATTGACGCGTGAAGTGAATGGCACGCGTTGTCGATAAAACTTGAGCAACATAATTTTGTAGGATGTTCTCATTAAAACCATCCGCTGGATATGAACTGCAACATTGGACAATTTGTTCGCGTAGTGTCTGTTGTATTGTGGTCACCAGGGAATTTAACCAGTTCTAACGAGGGGAGGAGGGGTTTGAATTTTTTTTGAAAAAAAAAAAATATATATATATATATTATTAGGATTAGTGAATTTGGCAAATCAATTGAAATACTTACTTCGATGGGTCCCTTCATTTCAATGGGTGTGCGTAGTTTTAAAATATCTCCTTCAGCACTTTTCAACGATTCAATGGTATAGAGAATGCGTTGATCATCCAAGCTATGGCCTTGTACTATACCCAGCTGATGGCAACCGGGGAATAGTTTTTTAATATGCTTCTGTATTACTTCAGGATCTTTGGAGGCCTGTCCCAATATTTCTAGCAGATCATCATCGCCCAAGAAGTAGAAACGGGGAAAGGAATTACGTTTGTCCTGTGGAAACAAGTTAAATACATTAATGGAAGTTTTATTATTAATTCTCAATGAAGTAATAAATGTCGAGGGTGGTCGACTAGGTGGCACTCTACACAAGTTTATGGATTTGTCAGTGCTCGAAATATTAGTCGGATACCCCATTTTAGATGTTTTCATAGTCCTAAGACAAGTGGCCGTATTTCAGCATTCTCTGTTAATGGTGGTTACAAAAAGCTTCTTGTCAGAAAAAAATTGAATATAAGCCCCTGTTTTGATATAGCTCTCACATAAATCACCCAACACCTTTCAGGTATTTTTATGGCTCTAGGTTAATTGTCTAAGAGATATGGCTATAAGTAGGCATTTTGTGTTTTGATAAAATACCTCTTGGAATACAATTTCATATAGGTCCATGCTGTGATATATCTCATATAAAGTTTCGGAACTATGGTAAGTATTTTTATGGTCCTGGGCACATTTTCAGTACTTGGTCGGATACAGGATCGAAACAATCTTCAGACCCTGGTGTTGCTCGGTTTGTTATAGCATCCATTATTGGTCAATACCGGTGAGATACAGCGAATGCTGTATTCCTGTACCGGAATTATACACAGTACAGGAATACAGTGGTTTGAGACCTGTATTCTGTTCTAAGTAAAGACCCAAGGGACATACCTTTGGCCGATCCGGTAAATGGGGTTGTACACAAAGTATAAAGGGAGATTGCCTGGTTTTCCAGGTCTGACAAATTGCGTAACTTGGCATTCATTGGGATGAGACCAACTCATATTTATCATATCCATGAAGAGATAACCCGATTTCATACCATCTGAACTCCGCACTTTTCTTAACCCACTTCGAAAGAGAGGGGTTTGTTATAACATCCATTATTGGTCAATACGGTGAGATGCAGCGAATTCTGAGAATGGTTACATTCCCGGTATAGGAGTACAGAGGTTTAATGACCGCCGGTATTCTGTTCTAAGTAAAGAGCCGAGGGACATACCGTTGGCCGATCCGGTAAATGAGGTTGTACGATTTCATACCATCTGAATGAAATCGGGATTTGAAGCAACTATATGAAGATTACCTAACCAAAGTCTTCAATTTGTTGTTAACCACGCGAAGTCAGGAAAATTATAGCTAGTTGTTAAGCTATTTAAGCCAAGACAAGTCCGATTACAATTTTTCCCCTAGTAGATATGACTCTTGGGGTATTGTCACTCCCAAAAATAAAAAATGCTACACATGGATACTGAAAGCAGCACAGTACAACAAGATTTCCGCGGATATAAAAGAAGTACTCAACTAGAAAAGGTCGTATGAAAAAATAGCTATGATGACGCTTGAAGGAACTTTCTGAAGCCAAGTTTGAAGCGGATACCTAGGAAAGATCTTCGTACGTGACATTTAAAAAGTAAGAAGTCAAAAACCTTTGGAGTATTACGGTTCGACCGCCTACAGCTACATGGAATAAGACACTTGACATCAAGACTTGGGGAGCTGATACGGAAACCTTGTAATTATAAGTGATAGGACGTTCAGAGAAAAATTCAATATTGCCCTGGCGCCCTGAGGACTCCAATATACCACATACATAAAAAAGAGTATTATATATAGCCATAGACCAAAATGGTTTTGAGTACGAATTGATGACACGGTGGATAATATCAGTCCGGCATGTGGAAATGATCCAAATGGCGCTCTATAACTCTTCAACTGACCGGTAGAACCCACTCCATCTTCACTTTGAGAACAACAGGTAAAGGTCGCTATATTTTTGAACGTAGAGTTCGAAGCAGAACAAGATTACAAGAAAAATCACAACAGTATAAGCTATAACAGTAACCAGACAGATAAGTCCAAAAGCACAAAAGAGAGCCTCTAGATCAACATCCCCATCAAACAGGATTGAATTGTATTCACAATGATGCAGTTGTTTGAAGCAGTTCAAGAATACAGGATGAATACTATCCATGGAATACAACGCCTCCAAAGCAGAATTGCGTTTGACACCACTGAGGTCAATTGTGCGCGAATTGTTGTTCTGGTTCGTACCAGAAGTAATGGTGGGTAAGAAAGCCTCTACCATCAACATTTTACGTTTCATACGTTTCACCATAAGGTGGAGTGTAAATCGAATTTGTCATTCCGTTTGCAACACATCGAAGTATTTGGCGGATACCCCATAAAGCAGGGCGTACGCAGGATGGCGGCCAGGGCCCTTATTTTTTCCTCGAAAATGTCAATAAAATCGGAGAAGTAATCGAAGTGGACCGGCATGTTAGCGACCATCGACCATAAATCAGTTTTAAACCATTTACACAAAACTGGATTCAAAAAGAAGCTCGATGTTTGGGATGTATCGAATTTCCATCTTCTGAGCAGGACTTCTATGAGAGAGGCATTATGAAGTCGGACATTCTGAAGCATGTTAAATAAAGTCCTATAGCTTATATAAAAATAATTGATTTCTTTTTCCCCAATGGGACCTATATTTAAATCTGAACCGATTTTTTCCCAATCCTAGAGTCAAATAAACGAGCTGTTCCAAATGTCATCCAATTCGGGTCAGAAATGTGACCTGCTTTTTCATTTCCTTTTGCATGTTACAAACATATGCATAAATACATAATACCCTGTACCACAGTGGTGTGAAGGGTATCAAAATCATTTCCACTTACCATTATATAGGACATCAAGTTATTCTGGCAGCGGGTCAATTGAGTTTCTAGCGATTTTACAATTGTTGTTATATTATTTATTTTTATCAGGGAAACAACCCGAGGATCCATTTGTATTTCACGCATAATATAACGGAAATCCTTGTCGATGCGTTTGAACAGAGCCTCTTCATTCTTCAAGGTACCAGCTTCAAAAACGGGTTCCAAATATACCCATCTATATAAAAAAGGAAAATCCTTTCAAATGAGAATATTCCAATAGGGAACATTTATATCTTACCTCCTTTGTGATTGATTTAAACTTGTCAAAATTCCATCTAAAGTATTAAGACGGCTTTCCCATAGCTCTGCCTGATCCGAGAATGCTTCAAAGGCGGCTGAGTTTTTGGCCGATTGTAGTAACGACTGATTATCGCCGATTTTGTTGAGTACCTCTTGATAATCTTTGATGAGAGTTATGGGTTGCCCGGATGAATCATTTTGATTTATTAGCTTCAGCTGGGCAGTTACCGACCATTGATCAATTTCGGTAAGGGCCTGTCGCACCACCTGTTCCGAAGAGGCTTGCCTTACAATTTGACTTATTTCCTGAGAATGTCGTTGCAGCAATGTTTGATTTTCTAGGAGGTTCTTTAGGGTAAATGTATGTAGATTTTTTATATCATCTCGTTTGAGTAGGGAAAATATACGAGCCCAATGCCTTTCGGTAAGAGAATCCGATTGCAATTGTTGTAGCAGAGGCAATAGGGTTTGCAGTTTTTCTACACTGCTGCGAATTCGTTTGGAGGGTAAATCAATAGAGGCATGTACCGAACCTTCCCATTTCGATATGAATTCATTGAGCACATATGGTCGCCTACGATATATGGCCCATTCTTCATCCATAATTGAATTCAATTCCTTCAAATAATCATCATAGACAATCCATTCCTTAGATTGTTCATTAATTGTTTCGTTAATCTCCTCGAAAGGCTTAAGGAAATCTTCAGGGAAAATCATATTGAATTTTCCACATTCTTCCAGAAGTTGATCCTTTTTCTTCAAAATTTCCTGCCAATGTTCCTGGCGTTCTTTGAATATTTCCAAAGTGGCATCTTCATTGGCTTGCAATTCCGCCAAGGTGGATTCCCATCGTAGGACAAATTTTTCAGCTTCATTGCGAAGATTTTGTATCTGAGTTTGGGCCTGTTCTTTGATCATGTCGACTTGTCGTTGTAAGATAACAGCATGATTCTCGAGCAGAGGCTGCAACTTTTCCCATTGAGATAGAATACCGGCCAGGGAGCTAACCCGCTCCTTACACCAACCAGCCAGACAAGTATCCTTTGCCTTGACCATTTCCAATGTTTCCGTAACTTTTGGTAATTCCGTCATTATTTTTTCATATTTCATACCCGATTCGGTAATCGATGATTCATCCATGGGTATGTTTTCAAGAAATTGTATAGCATTCTGTAGGAAATCTTGTATAACGGTAATATCATTGAGTATGGATGTGCGCAGGCTATTCGACAAGGCCTCCCAATAACGGCGGCTAATTTGTTCAATATCCGATCTCAGGGGTAAAATGTCGATGACAATGCAGTCAATTGATTCTTCATTGCTGGAAATAAAAAAAATAAATAAATATACTGAACTTTGTTTCTATACTACTTTTTTTAAATATTTATCTTACCTCTGAATTTTAGCGATTTTTTGACTAAAACTTTTACATTTCTTAAAATTCCTTTCCCAATCCTCGGCGGTTTGACAATGAATGCCACACAACTCCTCAATGTCGACACATCCAAGCGCAACCCATGGTAACCATATTTTCTTGAATTTCCCCAATTTTTCGAAAAGTTCTTCAGCTTTTTCGTATAGTGGACCAAAGTAGTGGCGATTATTTTCTACCATTGTCTTGAATAATTCTGGACCTTTTTCCGATAAGCCTCGAAAACCACAGGGTCGTTCAACAAATCGCCTTAACTGGGTGTAATAACGTTCACGGATCTCTTCTTCAGCTGGCATGAAACACAGCTGGCGTTGTCTGAAAGAAAAAATGGAAATTGTTATTTGAAAATAGTGAACAAATCCGATAGTCCTTGAAAAAATCTTCTTTAACAAATCCACCCCTGTGTTGGTCCTTGAAAAAATCTTCTTTAACACATCCACGCATGTGTTGGTCCTTGAAAAAATCTTCTTTAAAAAATCCACGCCTGTGTTGGTCCTTGAAAAAATCTTCTTTAACAAATCCACCCCTGTGTTGGTCCTTGAAAAAATCTTCTTTAACAAATCCACGCCTGTGTTGGTCCTTGAAAAAATCTTCTTTAACAAATCCACGCCTGTGTTGGTCCTTGCAAAAATCTTCTTTAACAAATCCACGTCTGTGTTGGTCCTTGAAAAAATCTTCTTTAACAAATCCACGCCTGTGTTGGTCCTTGAAAAAATCTTCTTTAACAAATCCAAGCCTGTGTTGGTCCTTGAAAAAATATTGTTTAACAAATCCAAGCCTGTGTTGGTGTTGGTCCTTGAAAAAATATTCTTTAACAAATGTACGCCTGTGTTGGTCCTTGAAAAAATCGTCTTTCATAAATCCACGCCTCTTATAGTCCTTGAAAAAATCGTCTTTCATAAATCCACGCCTCTTATAGTCCTTGAAAAATTATCCTTTCATAAATCCACGCCTCTTATAGTCCTTGAAAAATTATCCTTTCATAAATCCACGCCTCTTATAGTCCTTGAAAAATTATCCTTTCATAAATCCACGCCTCTTATAGTCCTTGAAAAATAATCTTTAAAGGATCCGCGCCTCTTATAGTCCTTGAAAAATTATCCTTTCATAAATCCACGCCTCTTATAGTCCTTGAAAAATTATCCTTTCATAAATCCACGCCTCTTATAATCCTTGAAAAATTATCCTTTCATAAATCCACGCCTCTTATAATCCTTGAAAAATTATCCTTTCATAAATTCACGCCTCTTATAATCCTTGAAAAATTATCCTTTCATAAATTCACGCCTCTTATAGTCCTTGAAAAATTATCCTTTCATAAATCCACGCCTCTTATAGTCCTTGAAAAATTATCCTTTCATAAATCCACGCCTCTTATAGTCCTTGAAAAATTATCCTTTCATAAATCCACGCCTCTTATAGTCCTTGAAAAATTATCCTTTCATAAATCCACGCCTCTTATAATCCTTGAAAAATTATCCTTTCATAAATCCACGCCTCTTATAATCCTTGAAAAATTATCCTTTCATAAATTCACGCCTCTTATAATCCTTGAAAAATTATCCTTTCATAAATTCACGCCTCTTATAGTCCTTGAAAAAATATTCTTTAATAAATCCACGCCTCTTATAGTCGACCCTGGTAAAATGTTCTTTAATAAATCCACGCCTCTTATAGTCGACCCTGGTAAAATGTTCTTTAATAAATCCACGCCTCTTATAGTCCTTGAAAAATTATCCTTTCATAAATCCACGCCTCTTATAGTCCTTGAAAAAGTAGTCTTTAACAAATCCACGTCTCTCATAGTTCTTGAAAAAGTATCCTTTAACAAATTCACGCCTCTCATAGTCCTTAAAAAATATCCTTTAACAAATTCACGCCTCTCATAGTCCTTGAAAAAATATCCTTTAACAAATTCACGCCTCTCATAGTCCTTGAAAAAATATCCTTTAATAAATCCACGTCTCTCATAGTCCTTGAAAAATATCCTTTAATAAATCCCCGCCTCAGTTGGCCCTTGAACAATATTCTTTAATAAATCCACGCCTCTCATAGTCCTTGAAAAAATCTTCTTTAATAAATCCACGCCTCTCATAGTCCTTGAAAAAATCTTCTTTAATAAATCCACGCCTCTCATAGTCCTTGAAAAAATATTTTTAAATAAATCCACGCCTCTTATAGTCCTTGAAAAAATCTTCTTTTATAAATACACGCCTCTTAAAGTCCTTGAAAAAATCTTCTTTAATATATCCACGCCTCTTATAGTCCTTGAAAAGATCTTATTTAATAAATCCACGCTTCTTATAGTCGTTGAAAAAATATTCTTTAATAAATCCACGCCTCTTATAGTCGTTGAAAAAATATTCTTTAATAAATCCACGCCTCTTATAGTCGTTGAAAAATTATTTGTTTTAAAATTCCCGCCTCTTATAGTCCTTGAAAAAATATTTTTGAATAAATCCACGTCTCCTTTAGTGCACGCATATGTGGGTCATTAAAAAAATATTCTTTAAGAAATCCACGCTTATTTTGGTCTTCAATAGTATTTTTCTAAAAATTCCGATCATTGAAACTCACCTGAATGCAATTTTGATATGAATATCCGGTAATTTATTATTCATATCGACCAGACCAATAATATATTGATATTCCAGCACCTTATATAGCTGATGATCCCAATGCAACTTAAACGCATCCAAATTGGTAAAACATTGCCGCTCTAAATGGGCCACCAACTCACGCAAATGGCGCATTTCATCTTTCCAAATTTGACTTTGCGTAAACAGATCAGTGTTCATTAGTTTCGCCACCGTACGCTTAGCCTGCTCATGATATCCCACTAAGAGTGTATTATCGGTGGATAACTTTGAAACGGCCGCTTGCAACATGTTGACATAACGCAACACAGACTCCTCATCATTCCATGCCACCGTTTCGCTGTGTACCAATTTCGAAAGTTCCATTGCATTTTTCAACATTATTGGCCTCTGACAGGGTATCATTCGATCACCAATTGTATTATGGAATGTGGCGATTTGTTGCAGGCGCCGTGCATAGCACATATATTTGGCAGCATGTGTTGCAGCTGTTCTCAGTTCGGCTGGGACATTATAACCCATATTTTCGAATTCTCGTACATCCTGACAGAATGTCACCAATTTCGGATTGAATGTAACGCGCATCAATTGACGTCCCTCTTTTTCGAATTTCACAACCGGTTGATCGTCACGTAATCTGTGGAGAGAAAGGGGTTTAGGGAGTAATTTAAATTTATAAATGAAGGTTACCTCAGATCACCGGATTTCACAGCTGTTGTATGCTGACCACACCATATTTCAAAATTTGTTCGCAGCAATGATTCCGTTTCCTCTTTTATTTCCTGTACAGCTTTATTGATTTTTTCAAAGCCCTCACGTCCTGATATGAGATGGCTAACCTTTTCAATTTCTTGGATCTGAAAAAGATACATAAAAACATAAATTTCGTGGACGATCCAACCATTAATAATTTTTTTATAGGAAAAATCAACCCTCAGCTACTAAGGATTTTATTCCAATAGGAACAAAATGATCCTCAGCCCTATATGATCTTCAATTAGTGAGGAATTTTTTCCTATAGGAAAAAATTCATCCTAAACTAGTGAGGATTTTTTCCTTTAGGAAAAAATTGATCCTCAACTAGCGAGGATTTTTTTCCTATAGGAAATAATTGATCCTCAACTTGTGAAGATTTTTTTCCTATAGGAAAAAATTGATCCTCAAATAGTGAGGATTTTTTTCCTATAGGAAAAAATTGATCCTCAACTAGTGAGGATTTTTTTCCTATAGAAAAAAATTGATCCTCAACTAGTGAGGACTTTTTTTCCTATAGGAAAAAATTGATCCTCATCTAGTGAGGACTTTTTTTCCTATAGGAAAAATGTGATCCTCAGATAGTGAGGACAACTTTCCTATAGGAAAAAGTTGATCCTCAGCTAGTGAGGATCAACTTTTGCTATAGGAAAAAATTGATCCTAAGCTAGTGAAAGAATTGATCTTCAGCTACTGAGGATGTTTTCCTATTGGAAAAAATTGACACTTAGCTACTTTGGTATTTTTCCTATTGAAAAAAATTGTTTCTCCATCATCGAGGATTTATTCCTATAGAAACAATTGATCATTTGCAACTGAGGATTTTTCCTATAAGAAAAAACTATCATCAGCCAATGAAGATTTTTTTCCTATAGGAAAAAGTTGATCCTAAGTTAGTGATTATTTTTTCCTATTAGGAAAAATTAATCCTCAGCTAGTGAGGATTTTTTTTCCTATAGGAAAAAAGTTGATGCTCAACTAGTGAGGATTTTTTCCCATAGGAAAAAGTTGATCCTCAGGCATTGAGGATTTTTTCCTATAGGATAAAGTTGATCCTCAGCTAGTGAGGATTTTTTTCCTATAGGAAAAAGTTGATCCTCAGATAGTGAGGATTTTTTCCTATAGGAAAAATTTATCCTCAGTTAGTAAGAATTTTTTCGTATGGAGATTTTTTTCTTATAGGAAATAATTGAATCTCAGCTACTGAGGTTTTTTCATATAAGATTTTTTCTAATAGGAAAAAAGTAATGCTCAGCTACTGAGAATTCATCTTCTTATGATCTCTTACCTGATATTGCACGACTTTCAGCCAACGACATTCATTACAGATGACCGATAAATGTCCGGTATCTGGTTCCATATTAGTATCGGACATTGCCTTTCTCAAATCATGCAAGAGAATTTGTAGTGACTGCATAAATTGTTCCCTTTCGATGGTTAGGAGCTCCAAAACCGTCGGCCGCTGAATGAGGGTCTCATATTTTGAGAAAATAAAAATCACCTGACGTGGATTACTCAAATGGTGATGGAGTTGGGCCTTCAATGCAGCCGCGATGCGTTCATCGATTGGCTGCAGAAGTTGTTCAAAATTTTGTAATGCTTTATTCCATTTGGACTGACCCATGGCGGAGGTATCGAATATATTGAAGTCACGAAATGGCGAATCCATCAACAACAATTCTTTAATTTCATTGTCATCGAGCAGGGTAGAGATTTGCTTATAGAGATTTTTGATATTTTTTATTTCCAGCATACGTTCCTTAAATTGTTCCGGTCGTTTGGGTATGTGGGCGTCGCCCACCCATGGGTGCTTGACATAGTTTGGCCAAAATAGTCGTGTCAGTGAATCACATAGCTGCATCCAAGATTCAGCCGTATCAATACATTGACTCATTAAACTGGTCACATGGGAATTGTTCAAGGACCATATATCCTCTGCCAACAGCTGTTCCAAACAAGCTTCAATCAGGATATTACCAATAACATCCATTAAATCGGCCATACGATTTTGTGGATATTGATAGGGTAAACGCCATAGCTCATCGAAATTATTATGGGCTGCATCGAGAAATTCTTCTATTGACATGCCGCCATTGGTGTTAATGGAACTACGGGAGTTATGGAGGACAATTGATTATGATGGCATTCGTGGTCACATATTTATGTGGATATACCTGATTTGTTGATCGATATTCTCCAAAACGCTTATAAACATTTGAGCCGCTTCTCGATCTATGCGTGAGGAGTTCTTTTGATTCAGTTTTTGTTTCCAGTATTTTATTTCGTCTTTAACCGAAGTGATACCTGTGAAAATAAAAATCAGGCATGGATTAATTAAAGAATATTTTTTTCAAGGACCAACACAGGGGTGGGATATTTTGAAAAGGACTATAAGAGGCGTGGATTTATTAAAGAATATTTTGAAAAGGACTATAAGAGGCGTGGATTTATTAAAGAATATTTTGAAAAGGACTATAAGAGGCGTGGATTTATTAAAGAATATTTTGAAAAGGACTACTATTTCAGTTTATACGTCTATAAATCTAATTAATATTCTCATTATTTTTAATCACTTTTGGCTGTAAAAATCTGTAATTTTATTAAATGCTCGAACTGTATATCTCCTAGGCAACATTTTACATTCTCGAAAATTTGCTTATTCGATGTTAATACATTTATTGTCATAATGGTTATGGAGCATATCGATGCTGAACAAATGCTTGCTTCTTTACTTATACTTATGCACTCAAATATTTACACACATACATATGCATGTATGTAAATGCATCTGCTTATGGATGTATTAAAATTGTGTTTTTGCTTCAAAACAGCATTCAATGTCCAAGGACATGCAATGTTAAGTTATTCTACATCGTAGTATTCCAATGCATGTGTGTGTGCCGTACTACAAGGATAGTTCTAAACGATACTTCTGCATAGTCAAAGTAAAAATAACAAATTTGCATATCATTACATAACTTACCACTTTGAGGTAAACCCAATGTTGAACCAAGTGAAACATGTAAATTTTCCAGTAAACCACTTAACTCCGGACTATATTCGGTTTTCTGTGAAAAAGAAAGAATATTCAAAAAGTAAAACGGATCAGATCATAAAGCAAAGAGGCAAAGTTATGGGATGTGGATGGGATAGGATGGGCTTGGGGTGAGACGAAAATGATACCAATGTAACAAAAATCTCATTGCAATAATAAATGAAAAGAAAGGAAGAACTGAATGGAAGAACCAACAAAAAGAGGAAAAAACACAATTCCGGAAAAGTGTTAGAAACCACAATTGCGTAAGAAATGTCACAAATGCCTAAAATACTATCAAGTTTTCTATGGATAAAGTAAATGGTCCATGAAAAGGTGCAAGAGATGATGAGAGAAAAAATGTTTCTAAGGAAATCTGTGAGGATAATACTGTTGCTACTACAATCATATTAAATTTTAATAAATATAAAAAGGAAAAACTGAGAATTTTTCAGAATTAGGTACAAGGTAAATGGTTAGGTCAAGATGGTTAGTTGGTAGTTTATTTTAGTTTCAACTTTGGAAGTTCGTAAAGGAATAACATTAAAATTTTATTTATGGACATTTTTTTGTGGTAAATCATTACAGTTTAAATTTCCATAAATTAGGTAGAACTTTTTAGAATTAGCTGTAGCCAGTAGCTGAGGAATATTTTTATAGGAAACATACTATGATTCAGCTATTCATATAAAAAAATTTACGGAACTGAGGAATAATTTTATATAAACAAATTATTTTAATCGATTGAAAAATTATTTAGCCTATAAGAAATTCTCCAATAACTGAGCAATGCGTTGTTTTAAACAGTTATATTTTTGAAGTTCTACATCATTTGTGCTTTTTATACCCTTCACCACATTGTGGTACAGGGTATTATGTCTTTGTGCATATGTTTGTAACAGGCAAAAATAATCGAGATAGACCCATGGTTCCTTTTGAGAATATGCATAGAATCACTTTCTGAGTCGATTTATGCATGTCCGTCCGTCCGTCCGTCTGTCCATGTTAAATTGTAAACAAAGTACAGGTCGCATTTATGATCCGAATTGGGAAAAATCGGTCCAGATTTAGATATAGCTCCCATATATATTTTCGTCCGATTTTAGGTAAATGGGGTACCAAAGTCCCTAAATATCTTTCGATTTGCACGAAATTTTGTATAGCCTACTGATTTAGGCCTAGAATGATGTGTGCCAAGTTTCGTGAAAATCGCTTCAGATTTAGATATAGCTCCCATATATAGTTTCGCCCGATTTTAGGTAAATGATGCACCAAAGTCCCTGAAAATCCTTTGATTTACACGAATTTTGGCATAGCGTATTGAATTAAGTCTAGAATGACGTGTGCTAAGTTTCGTGAAAATCGGTTCAGATTTAGATATAGCTCCCATATATAGTTTCGCCCGATTTTAGATAAATAGTGTACCAAAGTCCCTATATATCATTCGATTTGCACGAAATTTGGTATAGCCTACTGAATTAGGTCTTGAATGATGTCTGTTAAGTTTCGTGAAAATCGGTTCAGATTTCGATATAGCTCCCATATATATTTTCGTCCGATTTCAGGTAAATGGTGTACCAAAGTCCCTATATATCCATCGATTTGCACGAAATTTGGCATAGCGTACTTTATTAAGTCGAGAACGATGTGTGCTAAATTTCCTGAAAATCGGTTCAGATTTAGATATAGCTCCCATATATACCTTCGCCCGATTTTAGGTAGATTGTCCAATAAAGGCCTTGGAAATCTTTTGATTTGCACGAATTTTGGCATAGCGTACTGAATTAAGTCTAGAATGATGTGTGCAAAGTTTCGTGAAAATCGGTTCAGATTTAGATATAGCTCCCATATGTATTTGCATCCGATTTTAAGTAATTGGTGATGCATCAAGTCTCTGAAAATCATTCGATTTGCACGAAATTTGTCATAGTGTACTAAATAAGGGCTAGAATGACGTGTGCTAAATTTCGTGAAAATATGTTTATATATATTTTCGTCCGATTTTATGTAATTGGTGCACCAAAGTCCCAATATATATTTCGATTTGCACGAATTTTGGTATAGGGTACTGAATTAAGTCTAAAATGATGTTGCTAAGTTGCGTGAAAAGATCCATAGCTAGGCCAATTGACACAACGTACTGATGTAATATAAATTAGTCTCTGGCAAGTTTCCCTGAAATCGATTCAGATGTAGATATATAACAAAAACGCGTCGTCTGTTAGGATACATATGTAGAATATACCCAAAGTGGTGAAGGGTATCATATAGTCGGCCCAGTCCGACTTTACTACTCTCCTTACTGGTTTAATAAAGGCGTAGATTTAAAGGTACTTCCACAAAAACCAATCATTTTAATTAAGAAAATGTTTCAAGTTATAAATATAGCTTTCCAAAGCTGTTCAGTATTACCCAGAAGTTGCCAATGCTCTTAGGATATTCGCCATTTTGAGGATTTCGGACAGGCTTTTAAACAAAATTAGCGCTACCCGAAATTATCAATATTGACCCAGGTATCGGGCTTATCTCCATATAACAGTACATCCCAATATTCAGTATGTTAATGATTTCAGAGAGTTCTTTTTTTTAACTGAATCTAATTGAATTTTTAGTATTCTACCTAAAAATCAGGGTATTTATGATCCAAAACGGATCATAAATACCCTGAAACTTTATATTTATACCCTTCACCACACTGTGGTACAGACAAAAGGAAACGAGATAGACACATGGTTCCTTTTCAGAATATGCATAGAATAACTTTCCATGTCCGTCCTTCTGGCCGTCTGTTCATTTTAAATTGTAAACAAAGTACAGATTGAATGAAATTTTACATAGGTCACTTATTTGGCCCAAGGACGAACCCTATTGAAATTGGAAAATCGGTTAAGGTTTAGATATAGCTCCCATATATATTTTCATTCGATTTGATGTAAACGGTCCCTATATATCTTTCGACTTGCTCGAAATTTGACACAGCCTAATGATCTAGGTCTAGAATGATGTGTGTTAAGTTTTCTGAAAATCGGTTCAGATTTAGATATAGCTCCCATATATATATATATATATATATATATATATATTCCTCCGATTTAATGTAAATGGTTCACCAAAGTCCCTATATATCTTTCGATTTGCACGAAATTCGGCACAGCGTAATGAATTATGCCTAGAATGATGTGTGTTAAGTTTCCTGAAAATCGGTTCAGATTTAGATATAGCTCCCATATATATATATATATATATATATTCCTCCGATTTAATGTAAATGGTTCACAAAAGTCCCTATATATCTTTCGATTTGCACGAAATTCGGCACAGCGTAATGAATTATGCCTAGAATGATGTGTGTTAAGTTTCCTGAAAATCGGTTCAGATTTATATATAGCTCCCATATATACTTTCGTCCGATTTAATGTAATTGGTATACCAAAGTCCCTATATATCTTTCGATTTGCAGGAAATTTTTCATGGGGTTCTGAATTACATCTAAAGTGATGTGTGTTAAGTTTCGAGAAAATCGGTTCAGATTTAGATATGGCTCCCATACATATTTTAGTCCGATTTTAGGTAAATTGTGCATCATAGTCCCTATATATCATTCGTTTTGTATGAAATTTGGCATAGTGTACTAAATTAGGTCTATAACGATGTGCATTAGGTTTCCTGAAAATTGGTTCAAATTTGGATAGAGCTACCATATATATATTTTCTGCCGATTTTAAGTAAATGATGCTCCATGATCTCGAAATGTGACTGATATGCACAAAACATACTGAAATTAGTATAACTTAACCTGTGACAAGTTTCGATGTAATCGGTTTAGTTGTGCACAAAACTCCTCATTTTTATCAGATATTTATGTACATAATCAACGGGTGTCCGATTGATATTTGCCTTAAGGGGACCCCCCCATTCTCGGGGTCAAAATTTTTGTTGATATAATTCGAATCTACACTGGTTAAAGAATGTCTCTACAAAATTTCAAGTGAAAATCTCAAGAACTGTTGAAGATATATCCGATTTAGTGTGTCAGCATCAAGTGACGGCTAAAGGGTTTCTCAAACTTTAAACGCGTTTTTCTCTAAACATTTTTTTGCGAATGGCGGGCACGATAACTCAAAAACTAATAATCCAATCGGTTCCAAATTTTGCATAGTTTCTCTGGGAGTGTATAGCTCTCGTATGAACTAGGATAAAGCCAATCGGTGAAGATCTTCCTTATTTTTTAATTTGGTTTTTGGTCAAAAATCGGCGATTTTCCAAAAATATTTTTTCAAAGGTCCACCATTTTGTTAATTTTAGAGCGAAGTCAATAATCCTAGTTCATTCCACCGTTGGAATTTTCGGATTCCGATGTTCCAGTGAGGAGTTATCATGCCCGCCATCAAAAATAAGGACTTTTCTTTAATTACAAAAAACAACAACAAAACAATAACAAACATTTTTTGTAAATTATTTTTCTTCTTTTTTAAATCTTCAATT